TGAAGTCCACTCATCTTAAAGTGGCCAAGTTTGGACAACACTGCTCTATATAGCCTACATCAATCAATGAGCCAAACTAAATATAGCTATCCAAAGATCTTAATGCTTAAATAATCAATATGTTCCTTTCCTTGTTTGGAAATAGTTTACTCACTTTTCTGATTTCATGGTGTCTGAACAATGTGGAATTTCCCACTCTCTGCCGCTGATTCTCCTCATGATGGTAATTGGAGGGCAGCTTACTGATGTCAACTGAAGTATCAAATTGGTCTTTCCCCAGCATTTCCTACAAATGGCAGAGAATGATCCTTGCATACCGTATACAGAAAGTAAACAATCACCCTCTGGGGGAGATGGGTGGCATATAAATTTAATAAATAAATAAATAATAGCTAAAGCCAATGAGAGTTAAAAGGTGCACAGCCAAATCCTATACCACAAAAATATTTCCAAAATTCCAAAATTTTGCCCCTGCAATGTATAAACAGCATAAACAGTATTAGACCAAGAAAGATGTCCTGAAATTTGCATACAATGTTTATATCACCTTGAATGTAAAATAGATTAGATTCTCTTCAGCACCGCCAAGTATATTGTCCATTCATTACAAGGATTCTCCCTTTTCTAAAAAGGATGCTACAGTATTTTACGTGAAAACATCAAAGCTTCTTGTAATTGCACAGCAGCAGAACAGCCCTTCCACATGTTCAGAGAGGGAGTTGGACAATGCTTCCGTTACTCCTTACCCGACTTTGCTCAAAGATGTTGCTAAACTCCCGGAACAGTCTCTCCATGCTGGAGGGTAGGAAGGTAGCAGAAGCTGTACCCCCCTGCTTCAGAGATGTCAGTCCCCATAGCCCGCACACAACGACCAGCAGCATCATCTTTGCCTAGACCGTTGTCGTTCTGCGGTTGCCTGAGCTAGGCCTGCACAAAAGGCAGAAGCAGAAGGAAAGATCAGAGAAGAAAAGTCCTACAAGTGCTGCTGGCTACTCCCCAGCCCCCTGCTTGCATAAACATCCCCCAAACACATCCCTCCCTCGCCTTCTCTTGTCCCACAACTATCCATTTATCAGATTGGTCAAACTGAGCCTAAATAGAATCCTCTCTCTTCTCCCAAAATCCCACCCACAAAGTGGTCTGCCATCCACCAGTCTCTTCTCAATGGCTCAAGCTGTTCCTTCGTGCACCCTGGATTCAGTGACCAGCTTGCTAGCTCTCCACCCTCTCCACCAAATTCTTGTCAGTTCCTTTCAGCCAACAGGCTGATTTGAAAAAAAGTTCTAATTCCAGAACTTGCCGACATCACTGACCATTTGTCAGAGTAGTGTTTCTACGTACAGTAGATCCATATTGTCGGTCTGGGTTAGAAGAAGGAGGTGGTTGTTCTTCAGCTCAGCCTTCCCCATCTGGGCCCATTCCAGATGTATTTGATATAATTCCCATAATTACCGAGCAGCCTGTGTGGCCGGAAATAAAAGAAGCTATAATCTGATGCAGTGTTTCTCAACCTCAGCAACTTTAAGATGTGTGGATCTCAAGTCCCAGCTGGCTGGGAATTCTGGTAGTTGAAGTCCACACATCTTGAAGTTGCTGAGGTTGAGAAACACTGCTCTAGCACATCTGGAGAATGTCAGATGGAGAAGGCTAAATATTTGCCTGCAGAAGGCCTACTGCCCTAACAAGTTACCATTTCTAGCGCACGCAGATAAAACAAGAGAATCAGAAGCAGAATAAAAGAATTCTCAGTTTGAATGTTCCAACTCTTCCAGGTTAGGAGAGGGCAGTATTAGATAACCCCTCCAAGTCCTTGTATCAACAGCAAACAATATACAAAAACAACACCACGGTTAAGATAAATATAGTTTATTCAGTTGACCCAGTCACACAGTACACTGAACCATACACTAACCATTACCTGGACTGGCATGTAAAAGGTGGCAAGCTACCTTGTGGTTTGGTCTGTTGTGCAAAGATCATCAATGAGACCGATATTTTCAGGAGTTCTTTAAAAAAAACACAGTAAGAAAGGTACCTTGCAGACAGAAATTTTGAAACCCCAGAATTAAATCTGCCACTTCATATAATAATAACGAACTCATGGCCAAGATGATAGTTCTAGAGAAACATTGATAAGAACTCCAGTTCTCTTGTGTTACCATTAGATGGCAGCCTGGAGTTTCAGTGCCACGGTAGGTCTTGGCGAGAATCATTCACCGTGTTCAAAATGTCAGGAAAAGTTGTTTTTTTTCCCTGGGAAGAATTGTGTGAGTGGTGGCGAGAATCATTCACCGTGTTCAAAATGTCAGGAAAAGTTGTTTTTTTTCCCTGGGAAGAATTGTGTGAGTGGGAGTGTATTCGTGACTGGGAAAGAGAGATTACATCATTCCAAACTCCCTTCCTGAGTTCATACAGTAAATTACAAACCAGGGAGTAGAAATACTTACGCCGATCTGGGACAGAATATTCTAATTGCCTTATTGGGGCAGTTTGAAAT